ATATCATAGAAGTACAATAGGTGCCCATCCTTTTTCTTTCCCACATCCTTCTCCACTTCGACACGCAAAATGTTTTCCGTACCAGACGGGAATCGCTGAATATATATTTGATGCAATTTAAAAGATCTTACCTGCGCAAATCCAGTAATATCATCCTCCGGCAATTCTCTATTTACCGCAACTCGAACAAGGTAGTGTGTTGAATGTCTGAACCTATTGAACCATGGTGTACATTCTCCTTGACCTCACATACTTGCTGGATAACATTCTTTCATATCGATACATACGACATCATTGACGTGATAATCGGGTACATTCCAGCGTCCACCATGCCTATGCTCGACACAGGCTTGCCTTATATTTTTATTTACTTTTCCAGATATTGAATACTATTCATTGATTTCATTAGCGAGTCGGCTTCCAGCATGGTTTGCACCAAATACCTGTTCTGCTAAATCAACAACTTTTAGAGACTCTGAAAGAATCAATTTCTTTTCCTTATTGATTATTTCTTCCTGATATTGCCAATCTATTGTATCATTGATTAGTTGTTTGCATGCTTCTATAATTTCTGTATGCTTTTTCCATGTTCTAAATGTGCGACCATCTTCTAGAACAAACTGGGATATTGTTTGACTTGTATCCCCCACTCCCATAAGCCAGATTGCTTGAGGTCCCCTGAGGGTATTACTGATAGCTTCCCATGTATCACCCTTATAATATTCGACCATTCGATCTCTTGGGAAGTGCTGGTTTCTTGGAAATGCATGGCCATTATGAACTACCATTCCGATTTCTTCATACTTACCTGATCGATACTTTCCACTATTAAATATAGTACCATGAGTTATATCAAGTAATTTAATCGGTCGTTTAAGAATTTTTTCTAACTCTGCTACATCTTGTACTCGAGCACCTGAAATGCATATTTTTTTCTCCCAATCATTTATTTTTTGCCAACGAATTTCTGTGAGTCCATGCCCTCGCTTAGTGTTATCAAAATGCTCTATTACTCATTGAGCTACACAGTTAAATGCTCCATCTTTCATAGGTATTAATTGATTGACATCTGGCTTTCAGATTCGATATAATCTATAGACTACTGCATTACTGTCAAGCTTCCCTACCTCAGATTGCTCACTGACTTCTCTAACCAAAAATTTTTCATCTATTCCTACCCAAAATCCTGGTTTCGTTTTCTTTGTAAGTATAATGTTTGGACCACCCCAACGTATTTTCCACCTGCCTTTTTTGATTCACGAATAGGCTCATATTTATCAATAATTTTAAAAGCAATCTTTGTTTGAGATTTATCTCCATATACAGAATCATCTCGAATGAATTTTACCCTTATTAAGAACTCGCCATTATCGATCGCATTTAAAATTTCTTGAGCCCGCTTTTCAGTCATTCTAGCCTCAAATTTTTTTGATTCTATTTCTTGTTCCATGTGTTCTAACCAGGCTTTACTTCTTTTATCTGATGCTCTATAAGCATCTACTACCAATTTTATGATTTTATTGATTTCTTCTTCTTCTGAATAATTCTGATATAGGCATTGTAAATATACCTTCTGCATAGCTTCATCTTCATTTTCTGCTCCTAATATTACACTAGCCAAATCTATCTCTTTAGCTTCTGTAAACCAGGTTGAGAAAGTATATTCGGCTCCATCTACCTTGAACATATCTTTTGCAGTCCGAATTCCATTTTGCCATATTACACGATGTTTTTTGTTATCGGGAAATGGGACTGGCCATGGTACTTCTACATCTAAATCTAGAAATCCTTCTTCGTGAATAGGCAATTCTTGAACAGGTTGCAATTCTATATTATCTAATGGTGTGGTTTGTTAAGTTACTATTTCTTCTGATTTAGTAAGTCTACCTTCATGATGAGCTTGGGTATGAGGGCCTGGACTAGCTTCAGGAGAGGCATAGCCTCGAGTCTCTGACTTATTAATTTTTGGCTGTACCATTGGAGATGTTTCACGCTGAAGATTTGCTTCCTCAATTTCAGGTTTATCAAAAAATCCTTGCTCTTCATGTTTTTCTTCTTCTGTTGCAGGTCAGAAATATGCATTTGGATCTAGTTGCAATAATTCATCATAAAGAGCTTTGGTTTCGGCCAAATTTTTTGGCTGACCACGATCCTTGCCACCTAATTCTTTGACTTTTTTTCATAATCTCGATCCCCATTGTTTAACAGACTCGCCTGATTTTCTAGCATTGGGATCTTTTACTACTTGAAATTACAAATCTAAATTAGACAAGGGTTCAGAGCTAGAAACTGGCACAGTTGCTTGTAATATATTTCGAGGTGCACAAGGGTGCTTTCTTTCAGTTAAATGATACTTGAATTTTTGGTTTGTTGCGAATGTATCGCCACATCTTGGACAAGGTCTATATCTATATATAGTTAACCGATTTATATATATTACCTTAAATATTCTTTTCTTTAAATTTAAATTTTATTCTATATAGTCTAACTTAAGTATATAAGAAGATCATCGGAGAGCCAAAAAACGCATTCTTTGCACTTTCTGTACGAAGCCTACTGCCTCTGCTTCTGGCTGTTGCCAGGCTCATGTTGGTGGGTTTTATATTTTCCAATATATTGCTCGACTTAAAAATGCTCTCCGATAACTCACTACACTTCATTTGTTCATCATTGGAATGGATTTCGAAGACTCAAACTATACAAGAAAGCAATATGGTAACTAGATACTCCACTTCACTTCGCATTT